GGAGACAAGCGGAAGCAAAGCTAGACAAAGGGAAACCAGAAACCCTCAGGCGCAGGAACGCGCCCAGGCAAGCGGAGCACATATGAAGGCGGTCCGAACCAGACAAGGAGGGCAGCAATTGCTGGCCCCCGTCCGGGCGAACCCAGCCTGGAGCACATGATGAGGGGAGAGAAGGGGAAACAAGGCAACAGCAATCCGTCCAAGCGAGCGCAGTGTGGAGCACATATGCAAAAAGATGAGGGGAGACAAAAGGGAGACAAAGGGAGACAAAGGGAGACAAAGGGAGACAAAGGGAGACAAAGGGAGACAAAGGGAGACAAAGGGAGACAAAGGGAGACAAAGGGAGACAAAGGGAGACAAAGGGAGACAAAGGGAGACAAAGGGAGACAAGGCGGCAGCAACCCGTCCAGGTGAACCCAGCTTGGAGCACAAATGAAGGGAGACAAAGGGAGACAAAGGGAGACAAGGGGAGACAAAGGGAGACAAAGGGAGACAAAGGGAGACAAGGCGACAGCAATCCGTCCAAGCAGCACGTAGTGTGGAGCACATATGCAAGGGAACGAACCTAGCTTGGAGCACGTATGAAGGGAGACAAGGGGAGACAAGGGGAGACAAAGGGAGACAAGGCGGCAGCAACCCGTGAGCACAAATGAAGGGAGACAAGCGGAGACAAGGGGAAACAAAGGGAGACAAGGCGGCGGCAACCCGTCTAGGCGAACCCGTCTACTCTTAAAAGAGTCAAGAACCCCTACAGTATACTGTTTGGGGAGCAAGTAACGTCGATATCTTGTCTCGTTCGCCCATCCTTCTGTCTTCAGCTCGCCTCGCATCGAATGCAGTGAGAGAGTGAGAGAAGAGAGGAGCTGAGATGAGATGAGATAGCGAGAGAGGCAGAGCGAGAGAAACAAAGAGAGAGAGAGAGAGAGAGCGAGAGCGAGAGAGAGAGAGAGACAGAGGCGAGAGAGAGAGGCGAGAGAGAGAGGCGAGAGAGAGAGGCGAGAGAGAGAGAGAGACGCGAGAGAGAAGAGAGGAGAGAAAAGAGAGAGGCATTCCCCGGGATTCAAAAGAAAACATATATGCTCCGGCGAAGCCTCCCATCGACTGTGCAATGTCAGAGCGTGGCCAACCTCTTCGGAAATCCAAACGCTTCGGCAGAGGGAAAAGCCCAAATGCAAAGTGAGCGAGCAGTTGATGACTTTTCTTTTGGTCAAGAGCACCCGCACGAGCTGAGATGTTTGGACTTTGTGGAGTGGGTGAATTTGATTTCCGCGCAGCATTGTGTGCACGGCCATCATGCACTATATTTGCTGCGCTATGACAATGTAGCGCAACTGGGGTCGCTGGATCCCAGTACAAAGCACATTGGTACGCAAGTGGAGACTGCTCCCTTTGACTATGTTTGCACGGCAACATTCGCGTAATGACCTGACAAAAATGACCGACTACGATGAGAGCGAAACACGCTGAAGACGTCTGCTATGAAGCCGGCATTCTTGCTCGCAATCATGAACGACTCTGTGGCGGAAGGCTTGGAACTTTCACCAAGCAAGTCATGTGCGAATGGATGAAAGCTTTTCATCCACTGACCAAGCTTTCCTGAACAAGCGGCTCTTGAAGGCACGTCAGGTCATTGACCGAGCCCTCGGACGGACTGTCCTTGGCCAAACCATCTAAAAGTCACGTTTAGACACACAGTTTAAAGTTCTCGCAGTTCTTGATTGCACTCAAGCGAGGAGGGCGGTTTCATCGGGCACTCGAAGACTTGCTTTCGCGTAGCGAAAGACCAGCTTGGTCCGGTTGCGAAAGTCTACTCCTGCGCGAAGCCCTTCGGAAACCTCGAAAATTGAGCGGATGTCTGGACCCAAGCCGTATTACAGGGCGTTGATAAATGGGCATTGCATTTCTTGGGCCTTCAACTGTCAGAGCATCGAGGAAAAGAAAACACTCAGTTGAGTAGCAACGTAGCAACAAAGACACGTAGTACACGTGCTGCTTCAGACGCTTCAGAGATCAAGTTGGTCTTTCGCGTTGGCGAAAACACGTCGAGTGCGTGATACATGAACGAGACCTGCTGGCAAAAGCACGCATGTGGGTTCCAACCGTGCGAAGAACCCTTTAACATGCTGCAAATAACGTATCCCGTGTCACCAACGTCAGGGCAGCAAAGGCCTAGGCCGTGTGAGATATGACTGCATTTTGTGCTCTGCAGCGCTACCGTACGCGTTCTGCGAGCCAAGCAAGGGCATGAAGTGCATGGAGCAGCATCGCACTGGGTTCAATTGCCGCAGCAAATCGAAGTCCTGTCCTTTAGACCCACGCTTTGAATGATAGCACGAGAGAAGAGAGATTTGCCAGATTCATTTGACCATAGAGGCGCAATGCAAAATGCTGGAGATTGTGAGGTTGCCAAGAGACTCATAGGTCCCCGACGCAAGATCTCAAAGACGATCAATGTCCACTCTCAGCAGGGAAGAGCTGCCACCAAAAAAAGAGGCAAGTAACGGACGATGGAAGACCCGGAGAGGACACATAGCAAACATGAGGACCTTCCAAAGAGCAAATGAATGGCCAAACCCAGCTTCGGGTTGGGAATCCGGAATTGAGGCACATCATCGGGTCACATCTCTGTGTGCAGTGCTTCCAGCGCACTGCAGGCCTTCACTTCCATTTCAATCACCCCGTCTCTTGATCCTCGCTGAGGCAAGTACCTGGCACAAGGTCGGCTAAAACAGCTGGCCATCAAGAGGCCCATGTTGCAAATCACATCGGTCACGCCCTGTCCGCAAGGTTTGCAGGAGCTTCCTGTCTGGCATCCGCGCTAAGAAATACCTGACATCACTCCATCAACACTTCACGAAATGACGCTGAGCCAAACACCCCAGTATGCTGAGCATCACGCTTGTGAGCATACTTGCTGCCTCTTCGGTCCTTGCAGCAAGCTTTTTGCAAATCGCGAAATCTGGCATGCAAGGTAGGGATATGCAAGACGATCAATCGCTCCTTGGCAGGACAATCGAAGTGTGGCTCGTGTGGAGGGGTTGTTCATGAACACCTGAAACCTGGCTGCAGCTTGCAAACACGAGGGCACACAAAACTTACAACCCGCATGCACACAGAGAGGAAACGGGATAGGCACAAACACGCTTGCTTTGTGACTGCTTGGCATCACGCAGTCCACAACTCATCGCAAGATTGGCAAGGCTCATGCTGCCTGTGGCTGGTACTTGCTTCCCGACATGCCTGACCTTAGCTGCCCGCTGCAGCAAATCATTGAACTGGGCAAGAGAGGGGCAGGCCCAAGCAGTTCGATGTGGCGATACCCGGCAGTAGAAGCGCGGTTTTCCTCCTCAAATACATAAGTTCAGCATAAAGCCGCCTACACGCCATGCATTCTTATGAGCACGAGTCCTGTCCACTGCCGTCACGACAAAGTCTGACTTACGCCCTGACAAGACCATGTTCAAACGTGGAGAAGCGATTCTAAGCTCTCCTGGGTGGCTGCTCTGAATTCGAAGGATCAGCTGGCAATTCCGAGCTTCGCCACATGCCTGTAAAAAACAAGACGTCACAGCTCAAGCCTGTGCCAAAGCATCTGCCTCTCGCAGTCCGTGGCAAACATAGATTTGCGAAGAGCCTTTGCTCAAATCAGCACGCGCCCGCTGCATTGCCTTCGAGCACAAAGCGTGAAGAAACACGCGGGCATCATGGCGGGCACTTTGCGCGACAAGCTGTTGTGACTTCATGGCCGCATGGGCCGAATCCTAAATTGGCCAACGGCACACCTTCATGGCCTCCTTGAGAAAGTCCCTGACGCTGAGCTGAACCCCTTTGATAGATGGGCATGTGCATTTGGGTGCAGCAGAGCATCAACTTGCACTTTAAATGATGCAAGCGAATCTGAATGTGTGCACAACAAGGCCATTCCACTTGTCATGGCTTCAGTAGGTTTCAGCTCTGCGAAAGGGCAACTCTGCAATGCAACTGCCTCTTGTGCTGCGTGGAATGCGAAGTGGGAATGACCTCAGAACCAGCTGGACATCCTGTGCCGTGACCAAAGTGACACGATCCGGCCAGATAAGAGCAGTCAACCAAGACTTCTCCAGCAAGCGCAACAACAGTGACCTTCGAGCTCGCAATCTCAAGCAATCCAGGTCAGGAAAAGCCAAAGAGCGATCACGACCCCGAATCGGCACGCCTCCAAGTACTGGCGCTCTGTGGCATGGGCTACTTCCATGTGGGATGCAAAGCTGAAAAAGCCAGCGCCTGGCAACGGCTGCAAGCTGAAAAAGTAATTACGCAGACTGCAAGCTGGCCAGGGGTTCTGGACGCGCTAGCGAAAACTGGGGCATCCAACGTCAAGGCCTTGATGCTACACAAAGTGAATGGTCAGAGAAAAGACACAATTGTGAGATCACCAAACAGCTGCTCAAAGCGCAACATGGATGCCGGCGGTTGATTCTCCCTGACCTGAGCTAGAGGCTCTTTCAAGCTCAGGTGTGCCTCTTGCGTTCTGCAAGTGTTACAAAACAAGACATGCGCAATCAGGAGCAGAAGATTGATTGGGCTGTACAGCTGACATTGAAGGCATCGACTCAGTCCAAGTTGATCTGGCGCTCTGTCCGCTATCTGGGCCTAGGCCACTTCCAAGGAGCATCGCACGCCATGCTTTGCGTGTTGGTTGGCCAATTTGCGCTTTGCGAGCACAGTATCACCGCAGGAATGAACTTTTGCTGCTCACACCCGCACGAGGGCGCGGCTCGGATGTCAAACTCGGCACAAGCTTGAGTTCACAGCACTCAACACACGCCGCTTACACGCGTGCAAGCAGCCTGACAAGCACTTTGCGTAGTTGCAACCTTTGTGAGCGGATCATGTCACTCCGTTTACAGCTCACAAGCTGAACAATGAGCAAGCCTCCAGCATCAGAAGTCCAGCTCTGACTTGTCGGAGCACTTGGGAGACAAACCTTAGGAAATGAATTCGGTTGCAGCCACAAAGTCGGAACGCGGCCAGCCGTCAACTGTGGCCCCAGCCGAAGGGGCAAGTGTTGATGAAGAAGCGTCGTGTTCCCAGAAGTAGTTGCCTCCCGGCACGAACAAATCTGCGTCTCCCCTCGGTTTGAAGACTCCGCAGCCTTGACTTGCAAATCGCAATCAGCAAGCGGGCTCACGCTCACAGCAACATCACTGAGTGAAATGATCCTCGGGCAGGTAAGGCACGTTCAATACGGTCATAGCACTCTGGGCGCCTGAAGTCGAAGCAAAGAGAGCCTGCATTTTGAAGGTATCCACGCAGAGGAACTCCTGCCTTCCAAGCAGAATTTGGCAAGACACGGCGGAACATGCCGGGTATTTGTCAGGCTCTGCACAGGCCTCCAACAGTTCACAATGCGTAAGACTGGCATTCGATCTCAGTCCGCACCGGTGCTCAAGAAGAGCCCATCCATGGGTTTGCTGCCTGGACTCTTGCAAAGATAGCGCGCAGGAGGATCGGTCCTGCAGAACGCAAAAGGCTGAGAACAAGCATATGCAGACGGAAATTCCGGCTGAGCGCGTTGCACTGTCAGCTTCTAGAGCAAAAAGCATATCACACCTGCCATTGCAGTGTCGCCGCAGCCTGGCAAGAATGGACAAGTCCGCCGACCGGTCTAACGAAGGGGCCTGCAACGGGAAAAGTTAGGTGTTTTTTTCATGCGTGTATGTAGCTTGGAGCCCATGCCTCCCTGCCTATGTGACGGCTGATTGACATTCCTTATTCTTCGTGCCATTTCCTCCTCGAACCATGCCCGTAGAAATTCGTGGTGGGAGGTCCTACCCAAGTCTGAGGAGCAGGATGTAACTGAGACATCAACGGGAAAACATCGCTGTTACCAGGAACCCCTGAGGGCTGGGGGGCGGTAGCAGGACCGTCAATCAGTTCAAGGCTCAGTGATTTTGACGTGGACAACACAGCAGCGCTGCGTTCTCCGCTGTGACGGACATGTGCAGCGAGGAGGGCATCCGCTGAAGGAAGGTTGTTTGCTTGGCTGCAATGCCTGTTGGCGTCGTCTTACCTCGTAACTTGCATTGTATGAGTACATGGATATGTTGTGTTGCATTGTGTTTTGACGACTAAAGGCGCAACTCAATGCGTGACACTGCATATGTTCTGATGACAGCAACGCTCTTACATGAGCAATGGCCGTCTAGGGACTTTGGTTGCGCCCAGCTCACCAAAGGGCCCTTTTCTACTTGACCTTACCCACCCTTTGCGGGGGCACGCAACGCCGGCGCAGTGAGAGGGGCTACATACGTCGCGTCCATCATGGTTTGCGTTCTGTTCGGTTTGGGGGTGGCGCGGATGCTGGCGATTACTTCTGGGGCTGGTGGACATGGTTGTTGTTGCTGAATTTCGAGAATTATGAGTGGAGTTTGGCAATGCCACAAAACACAGCACACACCGTCACAACTTGCTTTGTGTCTTTGCGGCTTTGGCATCATTAGGTAGTACATGGGGGTTGTTTTAAGTTCTTGTTCCGATGCCTGCCTATAAGCTCCTTTCGCGTCGCCCTTCCGCAGCTTCCGCGGCTGTGGTTTTGCAGAGAGGCATACTCAGGGGCTGCAAACCGTCCACTTGTTCAAATTAAACAGTAGTATGCCCGGCAACCCTTGTCAAAGGCATGCTTTCTCAAATGCTCCTTTTCCATCGGAACTCTTCAATGTTTAGGATTCTTTTCCGAGTATCATGCGAACAGATATGAAAGCCGGTTCTGCTCCAGCTCCTGTTCCTCATGTACAGAAGGAATGGAGGAAGTGGCCAACTTCGAGATACCTTTCCACAGGGTTGAACAAGAGACCCTTACAGGAGACAGACATTACAAAGATCACACTGTTTCAGGCCCGTTTCAGACCTGTTTCAGACCTTGTTGCGATCTCCTGTCTCTAGGCCAAACACAGACACGCGCGCTGGCTCGTAAGCCCAGAAGAAAAACAATAAATTACCTGACGGCGGCGTCAAGGCTCACAATTTTCTGAGACACACCCACACTTATCCCCCTTCCACACGCACACCCCCACACCCCCACGCACGCACGCGTGCTCGCACGCACGCACGCAAACACGGACACACCCCTCCCACACACACAAACACACACAAACATACACACACGCACACACACACACACCCACCCACGCACACACAATAACCCACAAACAAACAAACAAACAAACAAAACAAAACAAAACAAAACAAACAAGCACACGAACAAACAAACCAAACAAACCAAACAACCAAACAACCAAACAAACAAACAAACAAACCAAACAAACAAAACAAACCAAACAAACCAAACAAACCAAACAAACCAAACAAACAAAAACACAAACAAACAAACAAATAAACAAACAAACAAACACACACACACACACACACACACACACACAAAAACACACACACACACACACACAAACACACACACACACACAGACAGACACAGACACAGACACAGACACACACACACAC